ACCTTAAACCCTCAACCCTAAACCGCGTTTCTTGCCCAGATCCCCAGAGATGGAGGGCTTTTAAAACGGGCCTGAAAACCGTGCCTAAACCACGTGCTTTTGAAATCGTGCCTTAAAGCCGTGCGTTAAAACCGTGTCTTAAACACGTTCTTAAAAATAGTGGCTTAGAGACGTGCCTTAAAACATGCCTTTAAAATCTGCCTTTATGAAACGTACCTTTAAAACACGCTTGCCTAAAAGACGTGCTTGAAAAAAGTGCCTTAAAAACTTGCCTTAAATATGTGCCTTGAAGACGTGCTCTAAAAACATGCCTGAAAGATGTACCTCAAAAACGCGCCTTAACCANNAAATCACGAAAAACGTGCCTTGCCTGCAAGTACATCACATTAAGATTTCAATACTCATTAGAGCGAGAGGTTTAGGGGTTAGAGGTTTAGGCTTTGGGGTTTAGGGGCTTGGAAGTTACAGGATGTAAGGCTTGTGTTTTGTGCGTTCTCTTTGAGTATGCCCGATGGGACAGGCCCAGGCCCCCTGTTGCTACCCGAAGCCCAAACCCTAAACCGTGTTAGGTGCTGGTGACAAGTACACGGACCACTCGTGGAATCCTACAGCGGGCGAGGAAGCCGCGAAGGCCAATTGGGTTAAGGGTCTTACGGTTTACGGTTGAGGGAGTAGTTTTTAGGGATTCGGGTTTAGGATACTTGGCGCCAATGGTGAAACTGTGACTGCAAGCTTGTTCTTTGGCTTGCTATCAACACTTTCTAAGCTTTTCGTCCCATGGGCAATTGGCCAGCTGAGGCTATCATTTACGTGGACAAAGAAAAACCGGCTGCCGACGGTTACCATCACGATGTGCCAGACAAATGGCTGCGAGCAACAGATATTCTGCACGACCCAAAGCTCATCGTTGACGGCCAGCATGCAAACGACATCGATCAAGGTCACTTTGGCGACTGCTATTTGCTGGGGGCAGCTTCGGCCATCGCTCGAAATCGCAGAAGCTTCGTGCGGACAGTATTCCCAGCATACGATATTCAGGTCGGGGTCTACGGTGTACTTTTTAACATGGAAGGGCACTACACGTATGTGATCGTCGACGATTACTTGGCTTGCGACGTTTTTGGCAAGCCCCAATGGGCCACTCCCGTGGACAAGGAGCTATGGGTGAGTATGTTGGACAAGGCCTACCACTCAAACCCTAAACTCTAAACCCTAAGCCCTGCCAACAGGAGCTGTGGGTGTGTATCTTAGAGAAGGCCTATTGCAAGCTCTACAAGTGTGCCGAGACTTGCTGGGGAGGCCAATCCGCAGACGCCGTTCACAACTTGATTCTTGGCTTGCCAAGGGGTTTCGGTTGTAGCGTAGTTGGCCATGGCCATACTTTAAACGTTTCGCTTTGGTGAAAGATATTGAGATCACAGGGCGCAGCCTTTTTGTCATGCTCCATTGGCCAACTAAGTCTGAGCGGCGTGCATGGGCGGTATACGATCAAGGCCGCGCACATGAAGGAGCCCTCGGCTTACTTTGAGACGTTGAAAGCTGCCTATGAGGCCGGGGAGGTGTTGACTTGCACCTTCTGGCCTCCCAGCAAGGGGAAATATGCAGACGAAAAATTTATGTTGGGCCTTATTGACAACCATGTGTACGGGATCCCCGAGGTGAAGGAAGCGCATGGACACCAGATGCTGTGCCTCAAAAACCCGCATGGAAGGGGTGAGTGGAAGGGCCCGTGGTCTGACGGCTCGGAGGAGTGGACCCAGGAGTTGCGGAAGGCCTTTGGGGTAGTCAACCGGGATCAGGGGCTATTCTGGATGGCCGTTGAGGACTTCCTCCATTTTGCCGACCACGTCTACTTCAATCGTAGCTTCGGGCCGGCTTGGAAGACCGCCTCAGTGTACGGACACGCTGACAAGGAAATCCCAAGAGCACGGGCCAAGTATTATCATCAAGCACGTGACAAACAAGAGCTCAGCTACAAGAAAGGTGATGAGATCGAGTCGGAAGACGCCCGGGGCCGCTGGATGAAAGGCAAGCACCTCAAGAGCGGTGAGGTGGGCAAGTTCCAGCGTAAGCATGTGGACTTCCAGTGTAAGGCCGTGTACAAGTTCGTGTTTTCGGTCCAGGATGTGGAGGAGGGTTCGCCAATCTTCTTGGCATTGATGCGGGAGGATCACAAGCAACGGCGCGAGTACACAACGGTGACGTTTTGGGGCGAGGAGATGAACAAGCTGGTCAGAGACTGTCCAACTTGCTTCTTCTATGCCCAAACTTGGGCAGGCAAGACGCTCCGCAATCGTGAGGAGAACGAGCGTCTATCTTGGATTTCCGTGGAAGTGAAAGAGTGCCCGTGCACCTTGTGGCTGACGTGTCCGGGTGGTCATGGTGAGACATGGACTCTGCGTGGGTTTGTGCCGCACGGATCCTGCAGCATCGTCAAGCAGGATTGCACCTATGCTGACTTCCTGGATGAAACTAAGCACTTTTTCTGACTTCCTGGATGCAGCTGAGTAGAGCTTCTCACACCCTATCAGACCCTAAATATGCAGAGCAGCCTGCTCTTGTACAGAACGTTGGCCGCCTTTGGTGCTGATGTGTGTATGTCTGTGCTTGTGAGTTTGGCCCGTCCTTGACTTGGCAGACGACCGAGGGTATGTGTATATATATATGTGTGTGTGTGTATGTATACGTTTATATGTATATATACATATACACATACATCGCAATTGTAATATTCATGCTTGTTTCGACTCCAACTGAAGCGAATTCGTTTCAATGACTCGACCACCACGTATTCATGAGCCTGCAGATGTTGCCCGCATGCACTCTTCCCCCCGTCCGCAAACCCTCATGTGAGCGAGCGAGAGCTGCGCATGAGGTAGAGATCGTTCAAGAGGAGCGTGATGTGCCAGCTGCTCCTTGGCATTTGCCAAGAGGCTGGAGCAGTGGCTGCTTACCATGTCAATGGACATTTCAAGCTGCTGAAACGGCAGCAAATCGTGCTGTCCTCAGGCCCAGAAGTGCAGTTGTGCGCCTTGGACTTGCCAGCAGTTGAACCCAGGTCGACCACCGATGCCCGATTCAGAGGAGATGCCTCTGCTGCGACTGGATCTGGCCTGGCGAAAGAATGAGATCTCCTTTCTGGCAACTCTTGGAGAGGTCCCGTTGGGGTTCTCCACAACAGTGCGCTCTGGGAATTTTGTCGCAAGGCTGACAGTCGAGAGAGAACATGCTTGTCGAGTCATTGCCTGCCTGCCGCCCGCATCTTCGTCAAGTTTGAGCCACCAGTGGGTTAGATCATGACATGGCATGTTCAACACATGCCAGGGCAACCTGCCCTGGAGCTCAACACTGTCAGTTGCTCAGTTCTCCTTCAAATGCCTGGACACCCGGGTCTCAAGCAGACCGGGGCTGGTGCGCCTGGATTGACTTACTGCGGTCTGGAAGGCTTCAGCCGCAAGATGTCGCACGTCGACGTATTTGTGCACCCAGTAAAGGACCTGGTGCTGTAATAGTTCAGTCATAAGTGCTCCCCTGTGCTCTGCGCTGCAGCGACATCCGCTTGACTTGCTGTGGATAGAATTTCTTGTCAGGTTTGTCGAGGAACGACATCTGCGTGGCAGACTTAACACTAGAAGCCACCCCGATGGTGCATGCGACTCTCTCCAGACACCAACAAGGCTGGGACTCCTTGGAAGAGTTCCTCGTCCAGGAGCCATCATTGATGGACATTGGCACCAAGGGTGAGAACAAGAAGGACAGCAACGCAAGACTATTGCAAGCAATTTGCGAGTTTCTCTAGGGGCCAAGACGGCTGCTTAGTCTCAAGGTTCAAGCGGTAGTGCTGTCCAAGGCCTGGTGACATCTGATCTGTCTCCGGTTCTGTCTCTTTGGGGCGTTGGTGCGTTTTTGGTCAGGCGCGGGGCGCAGCCATCGAGAGATTCTTGAACGAGAACAAGTCCCCCTCGCAGAGGGCTGAAGCCACGGTCGAAACGAAAGCTCAAGTTGCTATTGAGTGTTATAATATATTAGAACATAACTATATATAATATATATTATATAATATATATTGTATAATGTATAATATATAATATATAATATACAATATATAATATATAACATATAATGTATAATATATAATATATCATATATAGTATAGAGTATATAATATATAGTATATAATATATAGTATATAATATACAGTATATAATATATAGTATATAATATATAGTATATAATATATAATATATAATATATAATATATAATATATAATATATAGTATAGAGTGTAGAGTATAGAGTATAGAGTATATAATATATAGTAT